GGTAATGAAAAGAAATGAGAAATAGTAGTTTGGTTTTGATTTGTTTTGGGTTGAGTCAAGAGGCTGTGTCCTTATATAGTGAGGTAATGAGAGACCCTTTTGTTTTTTTTTTTTTTTTTTTTTGGGTGTGATGTGATAAAGACTTGGAAGCGAAACAAGAGGCAGTTTACCAGCGGTTTGGGAGAAACTTCTGGTTTTGCAGGAAAATACCATTTGCTTATCTCATTGCTGTAAGAGCTGGATTATATGATGAGACTTGCAATACATGTGGGTGTGACTAAAAAACAAAGGGCTACTTTGTTTGTATGTAAATTTATAATTTTAATTCCGTTATAATATTTTTTTAATAAAAATATTTAAATTTTAAATATTAAAATTAAAAATTATTATTTTAAATACATGAACTAAGTAGGTCAAAAATTTCCCTTAATAATACAATATCATGACTACTAATGGCCTGAGTCAATTAATGGCGTGCTGAGAAAGACAAGAGTGTATCCCTTAATACCCTTGATGGATGTGATAGTATGTAAAATTTCTAAATGGTTCAACACGCACCGAAAGGAATCAGCTATGGGATCTTCCTCACAATGCTTACCTCCATGGGTGGAGAGAACATTGCATTTGAGGTACAAAGAGTCCACATTCTTAAAAGTGAAAGAACTAAACATGACCATGCTTGAATACCATGTGACGGGGAAGGATGGTAGTTTTCTGGTTGATTTGTTGAGGAAAACTTGCACTTGCAAAGTGTATGATATAAACAAGTTCCCATGCGCACATGTCTTTGCAGCATATGATGATGGGCCAAACTCTCTGCACAATCCTTGCTCAACATACTATCTGAAGGAGTTATAGGTGTTGGCATATGTTGAAACCATATATCATGTACCAAGCTCGTCAGAATGGGACATTCCCTATGACATACAAGCTGAGAAAGTGTTACCTCCTGGTTTCACTAAAAAGCGTGGACCAATTCAAAAAATCAGGTTTCCAACACGGATTCCCTCATCATAACTACTATCACGAAGAAAGGAACGACAAATTTCTACATCATTGCGCCAGATATCCTCAAAGTATATACTGGTACCGGATTGTAGAAGGGTCATCCACTGGTCAATAATGAAGTTGGGGGGTTCCACATGAGCTACAAAGCCCTACATGTGCGCTGCTTGCAACTTCTCTGTGGTCGGCACAAAGATGTTTTTTATTTCCTGTAAGTTAAGAACTTAGAATCAATGACCAATTTCTACTTAGAAAATCAAAATAAACTAATTTGGGCGATACCAATCTTCGTATCTCCTAATACTTGAATAATGTGCTCTAACTTCGATGCCTATTTTTTCTAATACTTCGTTATCCATCAAAAAATTCTTGGTACGGGTCCTGTGATATCGTCTCTCATCCGTGCAAACTATGGTGAGAGGGCCGAGATAAACTCGAAAGATAATAACTACACAAATTAACAGTCGCAATTCATATGTGACAAAACCTCAAAAGCAAATTAGAAGTTAAATTTATACATCTAAGTAAAATTTACTCACTATAAGTGGTAAAATGAACCTAGGACAACCCCACCCTTGCTGGCCCTCTTTTTTGTCAAAAACATTTGAAGACTTCTTCGACAAGCCACATGACCCAACAAATAATTAAATGAACGTCTCCTCCATGGAAAGTCACGACAAGCATCTAGGTCGTCAACAATAGCAATGCATTTTTCATCAATGCTTGTGCCATCCTTCTCATTGCTCACTAAGAGCGAGCATAAAAAATACAACACCGTCATCTTCAACTTGTCTTCTATGAAGATTGATCTATCTCTTTCTTTATTCGAATCAACTCATCTCCTCCTGTTGCTAGGACCTTCCTCAGGTGGGATCACCATGCTTTCTAACTTTGCTTTCACGTCCTTTACTGTTATCTTTGTCTGCTCTGAAAAGTGTCTATTTTCAAAATTGTCACTACCTATTATTTCCCACTCCTTAAGATAAGTGGTACAATTGAGTCTACTTATTAATGCATGTTCCATTATGGAGTAGCGGATTGCTACGCCATTTCTGATGTACCAAATTTCTTTATCCTTTCTCGTCACGACCTCACGGCATCTCTACATCGACAATGTCATTAGACTTATGTCAATGTATTCGGGAACAAAAGAAAGATGGCCGAATTTAGACTCCATGAACCATTGCATCCCATACGGATGATTGCTTAAGGCTCCCCTAATAACTTTTACAGTGTCTTCCAAGGCGCACTTTGTAGTTATTTTACATTTAAAGTTCATGTGCTGCCAAGGCAATTTAAATTTAGGTCGCGGGGCATCGTAACCCGGCAATAATCATGTTATATGTACCAATTGGTCAAAATCTTAAGCACTACACATACGCCTTAAAAATGTACAACCATCATGTTTCTGCATCTAATTTTGAATGACAAATTGTGAAATTTAATTGATTAACAATAGAGGCAACATACTTAAAAGGACTTGGGCTTGACTTCCACAAACTCTGCATTTCTAATCAAGTAACTAAAATATACTTAAAATTTAGTAAAGAGGTAAAAACTTACTGATGGTTCCAAGGTCCATGATTGAGATGTCTCTAACGTGCTCCGAGTGGTTGGCATTGATGGTGGTGGTGTCAAGAGTGACTGGTTGTTGTCATTAGCTGGTTAGGTTGGAGTCGCACTTATTCCTTGAGAGTTATTTTTTGACTCTGCGTCTAACGGCTCCATATATCGACAATGTGGGATTAGAGGGGGATAGGAAGCCGGTGTAATCCGCTTTCGCGCCATATTAACTTTAACCTGTTTCCAAACAATAAAAGTTAATAGTCTTAAGACGAATCTATCAATGTAAAGAGTAATGCATATACCATATTTAGAATGCGACAACGTCAAAGTATAAAATTTAACTTACTAAACTTTAAATACTAAATTTAGCATACTAGATTCATGCTTTGTTTTAATGATATCCAAACTAAGCACAGTTCACATTTTCGTTCTTTCCCTTTTTCTTTTTTCTCATTTGTTTCTCAAACCTAATCATTTAACAACCAATTATGCAAGTAACAAATAAACAAACTGAATACTTTAACATATTAAACACATTTTCAGAACTAAGACACGCATTTACACGATTTTACAATAAACATTCAAAAATAAAGGGCACAAAATAAGTCATGCATTTTATCAAACATATGATAGACACTAATGCAACAAGACGTATTTCACATAAAGAATACAAAACCAACAACTTAGATAATGAAAGAAAAACATAAAACGAATAGAGAAATCTCACGGTGAGGAGTGAGGAGTGCCAGGAGGAAACGCCGGTAGGTGGTGAGGGGCGGAGATGTTACCTTCACAGTGAGGAGTGGTCTGACTTCTCCAGAATAAGGAGGTTACTTTTGAGACCAGAGAAATGGCAGAAGCACGGAAAGGTGGCGGGGGGCCGGTGTTATCCGACGACGTTAGCTACAAAAGGCAAGTGTTTTTTTTTTGGGTTTTTTGCGCCGTTCGTTCGTTGGGAGAAGGAGAAGGAAAACTAATTATGAAATATTTGGGTGTTATCCGACGACGTTAGCTACAAAAGGCAAGTTTTTTTTTTTGGGTTTTTTGCACCGTTCGTTCGTTGGGAGAAGGAGAAGGAAAACTAATTATGAAATATTTGAATGAGATTCACTGATTTTACCTTTACTTTTCTTATTTCTCATTTTTTTTAAAATACTCAGATTTGTCTTCTAAGGGGGTTTTTTTTTTTAAACAAGAGTAATTTCATAATTTTATCTAAAAACTAAAATAAAATAATTAAAAAAATAAAATAATTTTTATAAGAGAGTTATTACTAGAACGTGTACCAATTGGAGGTCATTGATTGAATGTAAATGCATCCTCAAAATTTTTCAGTAAATGAAAAGTCATTAGCAGATAAAACATAAGTATAGAAAATCGCTCATCCTACCCATTATTTAATTTTACGTGTCACTTTGTAACTTCATATCCACGATTTATTTTTCTTAACACTTAATTTCAAAAATAAAAAATAAAATAATCTGATGCTTTCGTAAAACCGGTTGTACCAGCCTTATTAATTTCTTCAAATAAAATGGAAGACGGCCTTTGATTTTTGAAAATTATCTAATTTATTCAAGGGCTTGTTGGATTTATGAAAATTCATTGAAAAAGGGAAAAAAAAAAAAAAAAAAACATTCCATTCACTCTTCTGAAGCATCAAGATTGACATACCAGACGAGTCCGTATCCCAACAAATATTCAAAATCTCGATTAGTAAAATTATTCGGTCTGTTGATTTTTCAGGTTTGAGTCGAGTACTGAAAAATAAATTTATGTAAGAAAAATATTGTAGTAAAAAAATCAATTTTGAAATTTTATAGAAAAAAAAATAATATAATAAGAAGTTTGAGTTCTGATTCAAAGCAAAACGAATGGGCCTTCATTTTTCAGTTTCATCTGCTTTCAATTATCATCTTTATCAAAATACCGAAAACAAAAGTAAAAAAATAGGTATACACAAATGGATGCAATATCATAGCAACACTTTCAGTATTGGTTTTGTTTCGTTTTTTCTTTTTTGGTTTTTCTTTTCTTTACCTTTCCTTTTCTTTCTTTCCTTTTCTTTTGTTTCCTTTGATTCGTTGGCCGAGCTTTATAGACTGATTTTTAAGATATAAACTACAGAAAACGGAGCCAAATTTGACAAGTACACGGTTTTCAAGTTCTTTTTTTTTTTTAATTTTTAGAATAATATTCTCAAGAGAGTTGGAAGATATGAATTGCAGACCTTGGTATTTTTTTGTTTTTTTGTTTTTTCTTTTTGGTACTTCACACTTCACAGATTTTGTTTAAAGTTTTTTTATAGTGAATTAAGCAATATTATATAAGGTTAATCCACTTTAATAACACATGAATCTATGATCAATACCATCTATTTCACTAATATATCCAAAAATATATTACAAAACAAACAAAAAAGGGAAGACTCAATTATTGGGACCCCAACAGCTCAAATACATGACTGTTCTAAGAGACTCCTCAGATTGCTTCAATTTCTCATCTTTCAACTTCTTGGCCACTGCAGATGAATAATAAGCACTTGGGATTTTCTGGGCTTGTGAATAAGATCTGATATTGGTCTTTGCATGATGTTGAATTGATCTCAAAGCAGAATTCCATCTACAAACACCTTGATCTTTCAAAGCCTCTACAACTCCAATACTTGTTGCCACAATCCAAGCTCTGCTTGTTGCGCTCATATTTGCTTTTTTGCTTTTTTTTACTTGCTTTGGAAATGGTAATGAAAAGAAATGAGAAACAGTAGTTTGGTTTTGATTTGTTTTGGGTGGAGTCAAGAGGCTGTGTCCTTATATAGTGAGGTAAT